TTATTTATTGATTTATTTATTATTTATTGATTTATTATTTATTTATTTAAGTGTTTGAGCAGCTCACACAAACCTGAGAGCTCCTGTTCTCCTTCCATGTCTTCATCTGGTCAGTAGATTTATCTCTGGTCTCAGACATGTCTGCAACACAACAACAGTCCACACACAGTGGAGGAATGTCTTCTTCTCAACACTCTTCCTGGACTTTGTTCCGTTTAGCCCCGCCCCATCCGGCGCCCCTCGTTTCTGATTGGCTGATAGAAGTGAACTGACCTACATTCAGGAAAACACAAACACAAAGCTTAGGTCCAATGGGTAAAAAAAATAATTCTGACTTCAGAGTTCTTATTTATTTATTTATTTATTTCTGTGGTCCACAGTTTTGTAGAATTTGTTTCTAAAACACTGTGTTGTGGTCAGTAAGCCATGGTGCAGAGGGCAAACATGTTTTTTGTTTCTTTTGAAGTTTTTGAATATTTGGTTTATTACAGCAGATTATCTATCCCCAGTCAGACATCTAAAGACTCACTGAGTTTATTTATTTGCAAAAATTGTGTACATAAAACTGAAAGTATCATAAGTAAATAAGTATACTGAGATAAATAATGAAATAAAGTGAATAACCACATTTAGCCAATCAGTTATTTGGTTGGAACAAACCCTTCAATCTTAGATCACTGCTGTTCAGATACAGAGTTGTGTGTCCACGGCCTACCCCAGTTACCACTACTGTGCATGTGTGTCAGTGACAGAAAGGCAGACGTGGCAGTGGAAGGTGTCAAAGCAGTTTGGAGAGAAAAACAAAGTAAAGAACAACAAAAAACGATTAATCGATTATTAAATTAGTCATCGATTATTTTAATAATCAATTAGTCATTGATTAATCGATTAATCGTTGCAGCCCTATTGTAAAGTAACTAAGTACAAATACTTTGTTACTGTACTTAAGTAGAAACATTGATTATCTGTACTTTGATTGAGTAATTATTTTTCAGTGTACTTTGTACTTTTACTCAATACATTTTTACACAATTATCTGTACTTTCTACTCACTACATTTTTTAAAAAGGTAAGAAGTAGAAAGTTGTTACTCCTATTTTATTCTGAGTTGTTATTACTTAAAAAATACTATCCTGATAAATTGTGTCTCCTGGATAGAGTGAATTTAATTGTGTTTGGATGAGAAGTATAAATATATATGGAGCTAAATTGGGGTCATATGTTTTGTTCAAAATAACAAAATTTGAAAATGAAAAAATAATTTTGAAAATGAAAAATATATATATAACCTCTAATGAGACATTTATTGGACTGAAAACATTCCACTCATAGCTGGTGGTTCCTGAATGCAACACCTTGTCCAGCCTGCTGTCAATCATGATTCTGCACCGCCTGCCATCTGAGGCCCCGCCCACCACGTTAAATCAGGGTCATAACTCTGAAACTGAAAATAAGAAGTTTGAAACTGAAAAAAAAAATTTTGAAACTGAAAAAAATATTTGAAACTGAAAAGACAAGATGTTTGAAACTTGTCCAGATTGGAATGCATTGTTTTTTAGTTTCAAATATTTTTTAAAATTTCAAAATTATTTTTTCCTTTTTTAATTTTTTTTTATTTTGAACAAAACATATGACTCCATTTTAGCTCCATACGTTTCCTGATGAAGCACAAGCTTGTCGTATAGTTAGCACACTGCATTCTCTTAGCCATCCATCCATCCATCCATCCATCCATCCATCCATCCATTTTCTTCCACCTATCCGGGGTCGGGTCGCGGGGGCAGCAGCTTCAGAAG